AGAAAAGGCTGTTGGATTAACAATTATCTCCATTAAAGCGGAACACAGGTACTCAGTGCTGAGCTGGACTTTTCCTCTTTATGTCACTTAGTTGGCAAAACAAACAACGCCTTGAGCAGAGAACAAAGCAGTATTTCAAGAAATAAAAAACATAAGCCATCGATGTTGTTTGCTGAAACCACATTAGTGACCAAGAACAATTAAGTTAGCATATGCAGATTGGCTCATTGGACTCCAACGGTTGGCTGGTTGGCCATCTGACAAATTGGTTGCCATAGCAGTTATGAGGACCCTGGGCAGAGGTGATTGGGTCCCAGTATCCATAGCAGCTGTGGTCAAGAGTTACACTGAGGGGCCAGATGGGGCAGCAGCAGGGGCCGATAGCTGCCATCATCAGTAATAGATCATAGTTAAATAAGAATAGAGATTGTTTGAGTAAAAATTATGCTCTGACAGACTGTTTGTGAAGCAAATGAAATATAAAATGTTTTAATATATTAACAATTTTTTTTCTTCATCACACTCAGTGTTGTACAACTTCCTTGAGTGAAAATGTTAGTTTGAAAATAAAATTTGTGGCCTGATATGCATTTGTTTTTTTCGTACTCACAGAAATACATGCTTTTACTAACTTGCAAGACTAGTTAACCTGATGACACTTAGCAAATGTTACTAATTTTCAGACTTGGAACTGATGTACCTTTGAGCGGGATTAGCTGTCATTCCCAAACCCAAAGCCCAGCTTCAGTGGTAAATAATCATCACCACCTCTCAGGGAACTTTTCTTAGTAAAAATCATATATAGCCTTGATGTCTCTGGTTTATCATATCAAGGCTTAATTTGGCATATATTTAGTTTAAAACCTTTTTTCCAACATCTTTAATAGGTTTCAGATTTAATTTAATAGAAGTCTAAATATAGAGCTGGTTTGGCAGATGTTAACATGCATAAAAACAACTAGTCAGATGTAGTCAAACTCAGCACTTTTCAATTACTACCCAGCTGCTTTTAATTAAACAAATACCAGTAAAGAACCACATGTGGTCTCCTGTGCATATAATCTATTAGTCTCTGACACTTGGTGTGTATTGCTCAAGGTTTTGTTATTATTGTAAGTAAGTTAATAACTTTTTCTTAAATTAAATTTCCATATGCCGCCCTAGATATTCTTTGTCAGTGTCCTGTGCCTCTGTGACAGATGAGCCAAGTTTAAACGCTCTGGTTTGAAATTATTTTTTTCTAACACAGCTGACATGACACATATCAATTTATTAAGCAACATAATAAACAATAGTACATAAAAAAGTACAATTAAACATTTACTTCTTAAATAAACACTGATGATGCACAGCAAAAATAAAGTAACATGAAGTAAAATAGATTTTACTTCATGTTAACCACCTTTTTTATGTACATTTAAAGAACAATCCAGTGGTTTGAAGAATTGTAACCAAAAAGAACATCACCAAGCATTTTTGTTCTGCTTTGTGGAAAAGCTGAAAGAGAAGAGCAGCAGTATCTAAGTGGCTTTTCAGGATCAAATTGTAAGCTTTTTTGAGAGGTACTCTGATGCTGAGGGCATGTATGTCCTTAGAAACTAACAAAAGATTCTTTTTTCTTTTTCTTTTTCAGATCAATACAACAGGTAACAAGTGCAAAGACTACAATAATAGGTGCCTTTTGGGAAAAAGTGCTCCATTATTGGTCTTAAACACCAACGACTGCTGCCAAAATTAAGCATTTCAAAGAACATGGTTCTCCAAAACACCAAAGGAAAAGCTTAATTCTGTCTGAGACTTTTCACTGGACAATTTTCAACACTGTTATATTATTGAATTCACTACTTTAAGTAGTTTGCTGTTTTGTGAGGTAGACACAAGGCAGCCCGTTGCACAGCGATAATACTTGTAGTAGTTCAGGTGATTTAATAAACACTAAATATTTTGTCATTTTTTTCTTTGTATACAAATTTATAAACACAAATTAAAGATGGTACTATAGAACTAATATAATTAAAACTAATGGGAAGGTTTGGTTTACACATTACTATCCCTGGTATAGAAGTAGTTTTTCTGCTGATTATAAGACGAATCACCAGCTAATTTTCCACCAAACATTTTCCAGTTCTTAACTAGTGTTAGTGCTAAAGGCAGTTCTTAAGTGGAAGAACCAATATGCCTTTCAACCACCAAAGACCTGAGTTGTAGCCACGTGTATTATGGATGTTAGAGAAATCCTTTAATATCACCTGGTAAGCATTCTGGATGCAGAATACAAGTGATGTGACTGAGCACTCAGCTCCTCCCCAGAGCTATAGTCCTAAAACGAGCTTCTGCCTCCCCCATGACTCAACTCCTTCAGACAAGCGGCAGCGACATTTAACAAATATCTGGAGAAATTGCACATCTGCTGAGCTCATCAAATAAACTACTTATCAGTGAAACAGTTGCAAAAATGTTAAATGATTGATAGAGGAATGTTGTGATGTGCTGAAGGAGATGTGTTGGAAAGAGCAGGATTTTTTATTAAAGAGAGCAAGTTTTATTGACACCACCTGGAGAAAAAAGTGATGTTTATGGTTTAGGGATTAGAAATAGCACTAAGATGTGAATTGAGTTAAGATTGAGTTTAGGATGACACATGTTCTGGCATTAGTAATGTTTAGGGTTAGACTACAGTATTGACACTCATTTTTTAGTCATTTTTACCTTCTTGTGAAAGTAGAAACACATGCTGTGTGTGTGCTGGACAAAAAGAAAGGATGTGAGCATTTGGCCTCATGTGAAACTGCTGCTGTATGAAGCCAGTTTGTTCTCAGCAGGCCTGTCATTCCAATTCATCTTTACCTGAATGGTGTCACAGTGACTCCATCTGTCACTAAAGACCAGGCCAAGGGAAACAAAATGAAAAGACATGCACCCAAAAAATTATGTGATTAAGATTGTAAAAGCTATACTAAGAGAACATTTGCATCAAAAAGATGTAAAAAAAAAATAAATAAATAAAAAAATCAAGCTATATTAGAAAATAAAATGATGAAAATGTGAGAATGAAAATGCAAACCCTAATAAATTTTAAATTAAACCAGAAAGGAAGTTAAATACAACTATTGTGAAGTAGAAAAAAACCCCAACAATTTCCTGCAACAAACACCTCAGAGCCATATCTGGATCATAGATCAGGAAAGAAAACAATCTGTTTCTTGTATGAGCAAAGACTTTTGATCCATTCATCAATTTTCATCTCTTTTTCAAGCAAAATTTAAAAAAGTCCATGTTAAGATAAGAGCAACACTGTTCAGTTTGAATGTTAGAAAGAGTGGCAGAATGTTTTTAGTATCAGTGAACTACTAAAATAAATTTCAGAGTAAGATCTATTTTCTATTTCTGTGTGTAAAAATGACGATGTGATGACCAGAGTATTTTAGCATGTAATTAACAACATAAGTTTCTCAAGCACTTATCGAGCAACTTAACAAATTTTACCCAGATAAGTTTGAAGGCAGTGTTCCATATCTATCTATAGTATTTTTTATTTCAGTAATCCTAAAATTCACTTAAACTGCATCGTTTTGAGTAGATTTTTGCCCTGGACTCCTAAGGACACATTGTTTTGTAGGTGTTCACTAATACAAACAGGAATCCTTCTTCGCCATCAGCAGATGTTGGCAGTAAGACTTTGGATATTCTGTTTCAAATTCATCAAATTGCTCTTATCTGTTCTTAATGAAAAACGATGTCAAAGACAAAGGCTTTTATTTTCATGTGGGCATTTATGTAAATTGGAAGTGAGATTTAGAAAATTGAGCAAGAGGGGAAATCAAAAATCTGCCGACAGTTCCAGCACCCATTTTTTCCACTTGAACACCTGCCCCCCAAAAGAGTGCACACACAATTACATATTGGAAAACTTAACTAATTTTGAAATAAATTAGAGCATCATGTACACTTTCCCAAATGTGGCATATATATATCAGAACAAAAGTTCAGAAGATAATGTGACCTCACTTGTGATCCTGAGTAAGTCCTTAAGTTTTTAGAAGCTCTGCACACACGGGCCCAGATTTTCTGTGCTGCCTAAATCCCACCTGGGCTCTCTGTATTAAACAAAATCTCAAGGATCAGGATGTGAAGCTCTAAAGCTGAGCTTACTGATGTGAAGCAGCATCATCTGGATAACGCGGGTCACATTTTTCAGGAGGAACATTGCTCTTCTAGTACACTCATATAGTCTGGCCTCTTCTGGCATATGCATATTTCCCCAATTTTTTTGAAGGGGTATTTTGGCTATATATTACAGCAAATTATAACAAAACATAAGCTTTTACTGTAACGTTTGGATTCTTTCACATAAACGTTATAGATTATGAATTCATAGACACAACGATTCTCTGATGCTGCTGCTTTTATGCTCCAGTTCACACCTTGCAGCTTTAAGTGCCGATGCAAAACATTGGAGAATTATATTATCAGGAAAAATAAACTATGAGATGCCGGCAAAAAAAAAAAGGCAAACCTGTACATAAAACACTCTTGCACACAAACTCCACATCATCCATGGCACTGAATCTGTTTGTATCAGACAGCCTCCCTCCAGACGTAAATGCAGCCAGTCACACCAGAAAAACTCCTTGTCCCCAGCAGGACAAAAAGAGCCTGTTGCATAGTGCTATAAATACAAGACATCCTAGGGGTCCCATATAACTCCCACAAAAACCTGTTTTGGTGACATGTTTTATTGTTGTTACTGGTTAGGGTAAAGGACAGTAAAAATACAAGTTTATTTATTTACTTCTTTATATATATATATATAAATAAAATCCACACAAACATAAACTATATAAATACCTGTTGAGTCAATCACAGAATTAGTGACTCATCCAATCACAACACAGACATTAAATGTATTTAAACATCTATGCTTCATGGCAATGACAACTTGTTGAAGGTAGAAGCGAGAATAAGGAAAAGAGAAGTTTTAAATAACTTTGAAGATATCATGGCTGTTGGTCCCGTCAGACTTGTTAGAAAACTTCAGACACTGTCGATCTACTGAGCGACACCTGTGTGAAACAAAATGCCTTATTGGTGTCAGATGTAAAGGACAATGGGGAGATCGATTCGAAACAATAAAAAGGAGGTACCTCACAAATCAGGGCATAAGTCACAATTTTATCTGCCACATTCAGATGGTAAGGTCAGAGTTTGGTTGTGCTGCAATTCTGAGATCCTTATTACTAACTGAGCATTGTTCAAATACCATAGCTTGTGTTGTTGCTCACCATGTACATCCCTTTAATTACCACAATGTCCCCATCACCTGATTGCAACTTCCAACAGAATACAACAATGCTTCAAACAGTGTAAATTATAAAACATAAACTGGTTTCTTCAACATGGCAATAAGATACTCAAGTGGCGTAAGCACAAAATGAGGTCTGAAACTGTCATACGTCACTTTCCATGTAAAGGTTGTGATTTCTATAAATTAAATCACAGACAGTGAGTCAGAGAACTGAAACCACACTGCATCATAATTTGTCTGACATTTAATTTCACTCCATGATGAAACTTTACTCATAAATCGACTTTATAATATGTATTCAAAATAGCAAAGATATTTATTTTCTGGGGGTTGAGGCATAACAAAACATAATGACCTTTCGAATTAAAACATTTTACTTAAATCTTCAATCAAAGCCAGCATGACATCATCAACATTCTTTCACCATCCCATTTTATGTATGATCACCTGGATTATGTGTACCAGAGATTAACACATACACTGTGACAAGGAGTGAGGCAATCAGACTGACTGATGTAAACATGTAAATATTGTCACCACAATAACTCTGCGATAGATTCATTGGCACAACTGGAAGACCTTGCAAATATAGTAGAATCGACAAGGAAATATAAACTTTTTGGGCCTGATGTATTGATGCACGGTTCCACTGTAACCTGCAGGGGATAGTTGTTAACCCCCGCAGGTGCAGGCTTATAACCTCCTTTCCAGACCACTAGAGCGCAGAGGAGGTGCACATTGATATGGCCTCCAAAAGTGCTGGTGAAGGTATTTAGTTTACTATGGCTATCAAAAATTCAGCTTTTTGTCCCAACTCTCCACCTCACATTGATTTCTGCCACATGAAATTGTGTTTTTGTAATCTTTTCTCCCTGGTTGCCATTGACCATGAACTAACATTGCTAAGCTGGTCCTTTTAAATATCCATTAACAAACATTAAGTGCTTTGAATTAACCATTTAATTCAAATGTGGGTGTTTAGAGATCAGAACAGCAGATGAATTTTGTATGCAAACGTCGAGGTGCAGTTGTGCTTTATGAAAGGAAAATTGCTTTCAAATCTGCGTGCACATGGCTTTATAAATCTGGATTTTTAAATTTTTTGCCGTAAGTCATTTTCAGTTTTTGGGCGTACATACACTTTTAGTATGGATCCTGCGCAATGTTTGATAAAGGAGACCCCTGATCCCCGTCCAAGAGATGCTGTGGTGGCGGGGGAGAATTGCATCAGTGATGTGAAGCCAACAAATCTGCAGCAACTGCATGAGCCCATCCTGTCAATATGGGCCAAAATTTTCTTAGAAATACCTGTGAGAATTTCTTGAATCTACGCCACGTAGAAGTGAGGGATTTCTGAAGGTCTTAGCAAGGTATACCTAATAAAGTAGCCTGAAGTGTATGTGTTTGCAAATTATGTAGGTCAATTCATGCAACAGGTTGCTTAATAACTGCTTCAAGAACAAACTTTAAAATCCTGGAATTTATGAACACATGCAGAATACACAAAGTGACTGATCTAAGTTTTACTGTCTGTAGAAAAAAAGTAAAACAATTAACAGTAAAATACATAAAAAATGAAACAGAAAGAAGTCACTTTGCTCAAATATTTTTGAGTGAAGCTTTGTAGGGAGATTTGTCAAGCATAACTTTACTGTGTGAGACCTTTTAATCTTATTATTAGTCGAGTTCAGCAACTTTGCCATAACTTTGCCTTGAACATAAACAAGTCTTACAGCCCTTTGAGAACACTGTTCATCGTTTAATTGATGTCTGATGTCAGGAGAAAGAGTTCAGCAGATTTGATAACATCTACAGTCAGGAGTTGCAGGACAAACTTCAACAAAGATGAATCACACAGTTTTCATAGATCTAAGGCAGATTCGCAATTTCAGTAATATTTGAAAAATTCCTTCTACAGTGGCAATGTCATGCTAGTTTGAGATTGATGATGATGAGTCTCATAAAATAAATGGAACAACAGTGGCTTAATAAACTTTTTGCTTTGTCTTTTGACCACCCACACACAAAGCATATTTGCCCTTAAAATCAGTCTTCAGGGAGACCCCCATGAGTGTTACATGTACCAACTCTCATCATATATGTGAAACATATCAAAATGTTAATATTTAATGTACTGATAGCAGTCACACGTTATTATAGAAAAGAAAGAAGTCAGTATTGATTGCTTGGTGTGCAGTTGGTCTATCAATATTGCTGTGTTTCAGAATGCTTTTGCAGCTTTCCTTTGTATTGTCCCTCACTGTCTTGAAGTTAGATTAGAAAAATGTAGAACAGAAACTCAAAAAAAGAGAACAGTCAATCACAGCTACACAGACCCAATAGGAATATTATAGGTTTGAGAAATGGCAGTAATTATTAGGCACACAGGATAATTAGCAAAGCATTTGTGCCAGTCATTCTTTGAAGTCTTTTTTGCGACATTCACGAGCTGTAAATGGCGCCATTTTCTTGATAGCACCACTTAGACCTAAAGGAAAGGAAAGGTCAACATAATTTTTGACTTCTCTTTTCTACTTCTATCTTGCTGTTCAGCCTCTCATCTAATTAAGCCAGACCAGTTTAACATTATACTTTACCATCTTAACTTTTTACCCCAAGGGAAAAACTCACCTGACGAGAGGGATTAGCTTTATAGTACTATGTGGATTAAAAATCATTTAGTTCATGACACTCTTCAAAAATATTTAGCAAAACCTTTCAGCCATAGCATCATTTCAAGAAATACAGCCAAGCTGAAGGCTTCCATGTCGGAGGAGAATTGGTCCAGGATTCCAGAGCTTAGCTTGTTACAGGGATTAATGAAAACCCGTGGCGGCACCAAATATGTGAACATTTTCAAGATAAGCAAAGTTTTCAAGAAAAGACTTTCTACTTGTAGTGGTTTAAATGTTGTGGCTTTATTTCATAATTCATTTCGAATAATACTGAATTTATTGTAGTTGCTCTTAAGACATCCAATATAATTTGAGGTAATTCCGTATTTTGCCTTTTCACTTTCAGCATTGCAAACTGCTCAGTTCTAGGTATAAAATGATTTCTCTCTCACGCTTCCTTCCCACTCTTTCTTTGCGACTGTATAGATCACAATAACGTTAGTGGTGACACTCCCTTCCATGGTCATTCATCTGAAACAGAATTACATAAGCCATTTACCACCCGGTCTCAATGATGGATGGCAAGGCCCCCAGCCAAAAGCATCCAGGCCTGATCGCTCTGCTTTTGTCAGTGACAAATGTCACCAGAAAGACATATGACATCTCTCGATTTCCTACAGTTTTAAATGGGAATATGTTTATGATAGAAAAACTGAGCGAAAGAAGAAACAGCATAAGGACGTACGAGCACACAGTATATTTTTTTTTCTCTCAGTTTTTCCATTGATTAAGTGTATGAGTTGAAAATAGTTTTAAAATTATTGGGAGGGCTGAGCAATGGTGGTATTTTGGTTCACTTACCACATTGAAAGAATATACTATAAATAAACTATTCTAGAAACCTTGATGAAAATGGAAGTTTACGCATGTACTAAATATCATTTAATGTATAAGGGTATTAAAATATTGTCCAGCCATCACCATATCAGTACTGATAATAAATTAGCAGTAATATCAGTAACTCTACTGTGATAAGTATTAATAAACAAATATCAAGTGTCAAAAATACATTTCAAAATTGCAAAAGTATTAAACACAAACAAACAGTAAGGACTTTCCACCAATTTTAAAAGTAATCATTTTTTTTTCAATTAAAATTTGTGGTAGTAGATGCCTTTTTTGATAGTAATTTGACAAAAAGGGGACAGAGAGAAGAGGGAGAAAGACATGCTGCTAACGAACTGAGGAAGGAAGTCAAGCGACCACCTGTTGGAACTGCGGGCCTGCCGAGTTTATCATACAAACAATTTCTCATTTCAATGTTCCTATGAACGTTTGTAAGCGGCACAGTGGAAGAGAACTGTGATGACAGCAATGTTGGAAAGAGCTTTTTAAAGAACGAATATGTCTAGCATTACACCCCTATTTATTAGCCTGTATCTTGAACTATCATGAACACAACAGTAAAGAAAACATTGGAAAATTATATGCAAACTTTAATCACTTTAACTCAATACTGTGTGCATTTACTTTTACACATGCTTATGCTGCCTTTGACAACACATTCATGACATTTAACAGCCACCACTTTGTTCATATATATATCTGTGAGATCGTCACAGTTTCAGTTCATCCACAGAAAATTCTTAAGCAGGAATATAAGAGATGCTCCAGGTGTTTAGCAGATGATTGGTCAGACATGGTCCTGGGGGCTTTGTAAGCACAGACAGGTTTTAATTAAAACTAGACATTTTATCAAACATTGTGACATGTTTGTCAGATTTGTCCTGGGGACAATTCTGAAGTCTCTAAAACTTTGGATTGATTTTACTCAAAAAACTAAAACAATATAAAATACTCTCTGATATTGCAGTGGCATTGTGTTTATTTCATTTTAAGAATAATAGTAAAAATCAAACATTGCAATCCAACATTTTTTCACATCCTGGTAGTCTTTGTTGACCACCAGGCAACAAAGAAAACATATTTGCAGCTCAGCAGGAAATCAGTCCCACAATGCAACAGGAAGGCAATGAGTATGGTATAGGTTTTTATGAGGAAGAATTTGTCAAAGCTGTAAGCCCAATATCCCAGGAAGCTCTATCCAAGAATAAATGTGTGTGCATGTGGAAGAGAGAGTGTG